CTCGTCCTCCTCCTCCCCCTTTTTACCTTTCTCCTCCCCCACCAGCTCCCCACCACCACCGCCGCTCCCCCCCCCACCCCCCATCATTGCCCAGCTAGCCGGGCAGACGAGAAAATAAAACCGGGATCACACTCTTTGGATCCCTCCATCTCCTCCTCCTCTTCCTCCTCCTCTTCCCCTCGCCCCCACGCGGCCCCAAGGGATGGCCCGAAGCGACCTTCCAAGGCCACCCCCTTGCTCCAAGAGATGTCTCGATTCATCCTGGTTGCTCGCTTTGTTTCCCTAGATGTGTCCCTTCGATCCTTTTCCCGTCAGCTCTCGTGGGCAGGGCTTCTGAGTGGGCTGGTGGGGATCTTTTAGTCAGCAGCCGCAAGCGACGACGCAAACGGCGAGTCGAATCAGAGCGGGCCGCGCAAAAACGAATTACAAGCCGGCGGGGCCTCAGGCATCACCGCGGCGGGCAGGGCCGGCGGGTGGGGGTGCAGGCTGCGGCTGCCGGGGGCTGAGCCAGGGCAACGCGCAAATTGGCCACCCAAGGTTGGGGCGCGGCCATAATGGCGCGGGCTGCGCACCAGGATGGGGCTTGGGGGGCGGTGAGCCAATGTCTGCGACGACTGCCAAGCGTGCCGAAAGGCCCAGGCTGGAGCACTGGGTGGCGCCACCAAAGTCGCACACCCGGTTCCCATTGGGAAGTACTGATCCCGAGAAGTCCGTCCGCAAGGTTACCCAGGGACGGGCAAGTAGCCAGGGACACGGTGGAGGTACTCGACACCGTAAACTCCCGCGCCACCGGATCAGGTGGCCACGCGCACTCTCGAGCTGGAACCGGCGCCTGAGGGCTGCTGGGACAACGCGGGCCACACCTCAAATCCGGATCGAGGTAGCAAGAGGATGCCGTGTGCGCTGCCGCCAGGGACCATGGAAAAGATCAAGACGGTCGGCTGGCAGCCGAGAACGCACAGGCTGAACCAGGTGCACTCGGGAGCCCCAGGCGCCGCAAGGGAGGGGCCGCTGGAGCAGGTGGCGGAGGGCCAGGGCTGACGGGGTCGCTGAGACGCGCAGCCGCAGGAGCGGGGAGGGGCCAGGGAGGTTGCCCAGCCGCAGGGGGAGGCCGTCCCAGCAGAGTGGGTACCGCGGGGCGCGGAGTGGGGGGCGCACCGACGGCGGTGAATACAGCTACAGCGTAGCCGAAAGCCGAGGGGGGCAGGTGGACCACGGCCACAGCGGTAGTCCACGCGCCAGTATTGTCAGCTGGCCGCTGCCCATGCCCCAAGGACGGGGGGCAGCGGGAGCTGGGCAGACAGCGCTACCATGGGGTGGCTAGCGGGCACTGGTTGCTGATTGCAGAGGGAATGAAACCGCGCGTGGCCCGCTGCGACCCACTGCTGGTCGGCCGGCCAGGGAGCCAGGGGGCAGCCGCTGGCTGCGCTTTCTGCAAGAAGCCACAGACCCACGTATCCAGGCGCGGCGGCTGCGACGATGTGAAACCAGGGCGGGCGGGCCCGCAAGGATGGGGCAGGTGGGCCGCGGCCCCAGCAGCAGCCCGCGTGCCAGGAAAGACAGCTGGCCGCCGCCAGAAACCCAAGGGCGGGGGGCAGCGGGAGCTGCGCAGACAGCGCTGCCAGGGAGTGGCTAACGGCCGCTGGTTTGCCAAGTGCAGCTGGGGCGTCACCGAGTGCGGGGGCGCAATGGGTTACGCCCATCGCAGCAGTGCAAGCCCTCCCGCGAGTCATCGGTCGGCTGCCGAGCCAGTCCACCGCGCCGAGGAGGCGGGCCGGCCGCGTGGCGCGAGGACCTGGAAGCCCACTGAAGGTCGGCAAACCAGCTTATCCGCGGGCAGCTGCGGGCGGCACTGTCTGCAAGATGCCGCAGCGGCCAGCGCGTTCCGTGCGCGGCAGGCTGCGTCTAGTGTGAAACCAGGGCGGGCGGACCCGCAATGTTGGGAGGGAGGGGGGCCCCAGCAGGCGGCGGGAGCCAGAGCAAACATATGCCGCGAGAGCAAGGGAGGGGCAGTGCAAGCTGCCAGGGAGTGGCCGTCGGCCACTGGTTGCCGAAAACGTCAGGGTCACCGCCATGTGCGGGAGCGCTTGTCGCCTCTCCCGTCGCCGCTGTGTAGTCGCCGCCTCGCTTGCCCCTGCTCTGCCAGTCGTTGTCGCCCCAGGCGTGTGACCAGGGCCCGGTGTCCCAGTCCCAGGGATGCTGGGAGCTTGTCGCTCGACCCTTGGGCTGGGGGGTGCCTGCGCCTTGGCCCCCCGTCCACCTGGCGCGCTCCTGGCCCCAGTCGATCTGAAGATTGAGCCGACGGTCCATCTCGCAGGCGTCGAACCCGCAGCGCTTCCAGTCCTCCAAGAAGCCGCGGCGGGTTGCCTCGGTGTTCCGCGCGGGATCGCTTTTGGCCTTGCCTTTAGGTCCCACGGCGAATTTTCGGGTGCAGGCGTGCCAGATGGCGCTGAAGACTCCACCAAGGGCTTTCTGAAGTCGTGAAATCTTGGCTGCTGGCGACTCGCCAACCCTGTCGATATCCGCGTTGCCCGCTAGCTCCTTGTACATGCGGTCTCCGTCGACTGGATCGACGAGGTCGTCGAAGACGCGTCTCGCGGCCCTACCGTGCCTCCGCGGGGGGCCCGCTTCGGACCCCGCTGGGGCTGTTGCTGCCGCGTTGCTGCTACCGGGTGCGCTGGGTGGGGCTGCTTGCCTGCGCGGGGGGTCGCGGCTCAGCCTGCGAGGCTCGCCGGCTCTGGTCTTGCCCTCTGCTCGGTCCTGTTCAGGTCTGCTTGTGTTGGCCGTGCCGGTGCCGAAGATCCTCAGGGGAACGTCGGAGGGGCTGCCTCCGGTTGCGTCGCCTGCGGTGTCGAACGAGGGTGGGAACGAGCTGCTTTCCAGGTCGGCGGTGCCCTCCGCTGCGTCGCAGGGCGGCGGCGAGGCTGATGACTGGGCCTCCTCGACTCCGCCCTCTTCGTCGTAGTCGATCCCTTCGATGTCGGCCTTCGCGGTGGGCGCTGGGCTCGTTGGAAAGCAGGCTGGTTCTTTGCCAGCGGGGTTGTCGGTCGCCCCCTGATCTGTCGCCTGTCGGGCGTGCGCTGCCTGCGGGGCACGAGGCTCGGCCTCCTTAGGGGCCGTGCCGCTGGGTAGGGCACCGGTGGCCGAGGGTCCCTCGTCCGCTGCGGTTGCTGCCCCCTCGGCTTCTGGCTGAAGCCAGGTTCTCGTGGCTTCCCTTGGGGACGCCGAGTGTGGTTCGTCGGCGCCCAGTCGAGGGGTCTTGTCCAGCAAAGGTGGTAATGGAGGCAGCTGCGAGAGCTCCTGGGTTCAGGCTGGCGAGAAAGCTGGCAAGGACGGTGAAGTCATGGCGGAACGGGCTTGGCACTTTGTTGTGGGCCAAGCTCGAGTAGTGAGCTGTCCACGCCTCCTTGTGCTTTGGGCTGCACAGTAGGTGTCCTACCACCCTCGCTGCTGCCCATCTCTTGCCGTCCCAGGGGGCACCCTCCGGGCGGCCGCCTTCTGGGATGTTCGCGCCGTACACCTTGAACAAGAAGGGGGCCAGCTGGAGCGCAGGCCAGGAGGTCTCCTGGCCTTTCGGGGCTGGGATGTCTGTGCCAACTGCCTTGGCGAAATCCATCGAGTGCTGGTCCAGTGTGGGGTGGTAGTCCCGTAGGTAAGCGACCAGGGTGTGATGGGCCTCTTTCAACTTGTTGCGTCGGCTGCGTTTGGAGTCGCTTGCCTCGTCTGGGGCAAGTGCGGAGACGCTCCTGCAGCTTAGCCTTGGGGCCTCTGGCGGGGGCAGGTCGGGAAGTAGCTCCAGGGCCTGGGGGACTGTGCGGCTGAGCGGGTTGGGCTGTGGCCGATCGCTGCGAGTTCCACCTCCGGCCGCTGCTGTGCCCGCTGAGCTCTCGTTGCGGGCGTAGGGGTCGGGCGCCTTTGCATATGCCGCTGCGGGTGTGAGTTGGGTGGCCAGGTCGAGAGGGGCGTCGCAGGAGTCCGCCTGCGCGGTGTGACGCGGGCGGGCTGCAGGCTGCCGTGGGAAGACTTTCCAGGAGTCACGGTCCATGTTACAGTCCAGGGTTGCTGGAGCAACTTGCCAGATGTATACTAGGCACATTCGGCAGCACCACGTGGCGTTCCATTTGCGAAACGTGAAGAATTAACAACATCAGGGTGGGACCACCATGATAACACAACCCACAGGTGGTTTGGGTATATAAGAGAAGCACATAACTTGTTTATCATGTGTGGATATAAAATGGATGCCATGAAGCAATAACGCCGTAGTGAACTTCATTTGTGGACCAAAACGAGCTGGAACACCATGATAGCTGTATGATAAGCCTCATGTCTACGCCAGAACGAATCATAACACCATAGTGCACACTGCCGGACGATTGTGCCAGACCGTCGCCAGGCCTGGGAGACGCCCTCCGCCCCGCCCCTCTGATCCCTCTAGCGAAGCGCAACTAGGCAACAACGCCCACTGCATATTCGAGAACAACCAAACTTGTTGTTATCTTCCTGAACGGCGGCATCGGCCCCGCCAGAAGCTTCAAGGCAGCAAACAACATGTGAACCTCCTCGCCTCCCCTTCCGTCCTCCTCCTCCTCCTCCTGCTCCTCCCCCTCCTCACCACCATCATCGTCATCGTGATCCTCCTCCTCCTCCTACTCCTCCTCATCCTCCTCCTCCTCCTCATCATCATCACTGTCCCCTCCCCCTCCTCCCCCTTCTCCTCCCCCTCTCCCTCAACCTTCTCCTCCTCCTCCTCCTCCTCCTCTTCCTCACCTTCCTCCTCCTCCTCCTCCTCCTCTTCTCCTCCTCCCCCTCCTCCCCCCCATCATCATCGTCATCCGTATCCTCCTCCTCATCATCGTCATCCTCCTCCTTTTCCTCCTCTTGCTCCTCCTCCTCCTCCTCCTCTCTTCCTGATTGTCCTCCTCCTCATCATTGTCACTGTCGTGGTCCTTCTCCTTCCCGCTGCGACCACCTGGCGCCCGAGTCGCGCGCGGGACGGCCTTCTTCGGCTTGGCGGCCGGCTTGGTGGGGGCACCCTCCGCATCCTCCTCCTGGGGGTTTCGGGAACGCGCGGGGCGACGGCTTCCGCGAGGACACGCGTGCGGAGCGGCGGTGGGGGGGCGTGATGGGGAGCTGTCTCAGAGGGCGGGGGGATTCAGAGAAGGGCTCGGAGTCCTAGATCGATTTCTGATTGTTCTGGGGCCCCCGAGCAAGACCCGAGAGGCCTAAATTGGCGAAACACCCTCTCAAACCTGCGAGGTCGTCCTTTTCCTCCTGCTCCTCTTCCAGCACTTTTCCATATCAATAACTTTCCCTGTCGCACTCCCGAGACGTGTCGGGAGGGCGGGCTGGGCGTGTCGCGTGACACTTTCTCACCTGTTATGACCCTGAGGCTTGATCTGTGCAACAATTCCAAGGGCGGAGGGCAGGTGGATGTCAAATATGGCGATCGACTTAGCGCCACGCACATTGGACTTACAACCTGCTACAGCTTCAAGGATGGAGGGCGGGTGGGTTTGAAAATGGTGAGTATCGTTTAAGCGATCCCCATCCCCACCAGCGTGAGCTGGGCCCCACTGGCTGATGTACCCCCCCTGGATGGGGATACATGCCGTTCCCTTCGGGTTTCGAGGGGTGTATCCCCAACTGGGGGTGTATTTTGGTGGGGGTCTCGAAGGGGATGAGCACGGGGATGGAGATCGGTTAAACGATACTGAAATGTGGCTCTAACCTTAGCGCCGCGCACTCTCGTGTTAACCCTTTACGGCAGCTTGAAGGATGCAGGGCGGTTCCTCTTCAAAATGCGGTTCTCGCCTCAACTCCGAGCGTATTCGCGCGAAGAGGCTGCAGCTGTTTCAAGGACTCGCAAGGTCGTAATCGCAGGAACGGTATTCTGGCACGGTCTGGGAACGTCAAGACGCAACAGTCACGTTGATCCACTATGTTGAACTCCCCAGCATGGTGTTGTGGCACGGTTTAGGGTAGCCACCGCGCAATCATCGCGTCGATTCGCGGCGGTAAGGTTCTCAATCATGGTGCTTTGCCACGGTTGAAGATTATCATATGGCTTCCCAAAATGATACTAAATTCTGACAGGAACCTGTGAACGTACTTGGAGAGAGGATGGTTTAGCGAAACATCGATGATGCGCCTTGGCTTAACGCTGGTTCTCCTCCCTCCTCATCCTCCTCCTCCTCGAGTCGCCCAGAGGTCGAGGTCAGCAGACGCCTCTGAATGTCCACCGAGGTCCCCAGATGCCCTCTGAGGATCAGCAAAACACGAGCGTGACCCTCACCTCGAAGCGCCTCCTCCTCCTTTTTCTCCTCGTCGTCGTCGCATTCCTCCTCCTCTTCCTATTCTTCTATCATCCTCCTCCTCCCCCTCCCTCCTCCTACCCCTCCGCCTTCCTCGTCCTACTCCTCATCCTCCTCTTCCTCCTCCTGCCTCCTCCCGCGGGGCACGCTCCTCCCACAGGTCGCCCAGCGGGCCTTCAGCGAGGCACCCGACTAGGCAATGCTCACAGGCCTCGCGAGAGCGTCGCCGCCGTCGGCGCCGCCGCCGCGAATGCCGCCGTCGTCGTATCGCCGCCTTCGTCGTCTGATCGAGGATCATGGGTTTCGAGCACTTTCGGCGCTTTTGGGCCTCCAAGGTCCTCTACAAGGCGAACTCAAGACACCTGCGGTCGCAAGGTCAATTGCGGGCGTAACAACAGTAGGGCTGGCGCCGCCTCCGCCGGTGCTGCATCAATCCACCGCTGCCTCCGCCATTGCAACCGACGCCGCTGCCTCCGCCGCCGCCTGCGTCTTGTGCGCAGCCGCGATGCCCGTAGGAATGCTGCTGTTCATCGATCGGCCGCGGCTGGGAGGTTCCAAGGCAAGGGGGCCGTTTAAGAAATCCTCCCCACCGAATCTGCCTCCCTGTGTGCTCGCCGCCGGCTGCTACTGCCTCTCCCACTGAATCCGTCGTCAGCGACGGGTCTTGCTCCTGGCCCTAGAAAGCTCGCACAAGGGTACTGTCCCGGAAAAATCTGAGGGCCCTCAGCACCGTTCCTGCTATATAACAGCGAGGGGCAGGAGCAGGAGCAAAGGGAAAATGAACGATGGTGCGAACTGTGCCCTGCTCCAGAAGAGGGGGGGCTCGAGGAGAGAGAGAAGGAACGAAGAGGAAGATCTGCGAGGAAAGAAGGGACGACAAAGCTGCAGGAGAAGAACGCGAAACGGGATACGATGCCGAAGAGCAGCAGCAGAGACAACAGCGGTGGAAGCGGCGGCGGCAGCGGAGGCGTAGGCGGCCAAGGCGGCAGCGGAGGCACTGGCGGCGCCGGCAGCAACATCGGAGCAAGGGCGGTGCAAACTCAGCGGTGGAGGGGGCAACGGAAGCGTCGGCGGCGGCGGCAAGCGGCGCGCGCGCGCCAAGTGGGCGAACTCGCTGCCCCGCAGGGTCCGCAAGACGAACGGGCGCGGCGCGGGTAGCAAACCTGAGGGACAAGGCCTCAGACATCCAGCGGTTCGAAAAAAAGGAGGCGGCAACTCTACGAGGCTACGTGAGCTCGGGCCCCGGGGGCTGTGAACGAAAACGGCCCCTGGGTTGGGGTCGAAGCGTCGGGGGCTTCGTGTTTCGAGCAAATGTGTCCGTCGGATGCCTGGGGCCGCCATCGGAGGGTGGGCGGAAGGAAAACAGGGATTCCAGCTCGCCGGAGTTTGCGCTTCGCGCCGCGCTCGCACCAACCCCCGCACCCTATAGAAGAACACGTCAACGGAACGAGGGGGATATGCTGCTGCTGGTGATGGTGGTCGTGCGAATGATGAGGAGGAAAGGGAGATAAGGATGATGATGGTGATGGTAATGTGGTGGCGGCGATGAAGATGATGATGTTGATGCTGATGCTGGTGATGATGCTGAGACTTTCTTTGTGGCCCGATCAGACCACCAGCCCGCCGCTCGACGCAATCGCGAGGCTATTTCAGCAAGCTGGAGCCACGGCTGCGAGGCTCATGATGAAACAGGCCCTCCCGAAAGTCCGCGGGAGGTCCCCTCGCACTCCTGAATGACACAATGTGTGAGATTAAACTCCTGTCACGAAGCACTGGCCCCCGAACTGGCACGGGGCCGCAATGGAAGTAAGAGGGCTTCCACCGCCCAGTCCAGGAGGGCGTGCCCAGACGCCTGAACGTCGCCCACTGCTGCGCAATGCTCCAGCTCGTGACTAGATTCCTCGGCAAAGCTGCGCATCATCATTGTTGCTCAACGCGCGCTCCCATGTATAGGCGCGGGCGGGATGGCCGAAAACCCTCTCAGTTGAGCGCCGCGAGCAGCGATGCCTGGTCGCGCTCTGCCCTCAGCGCGCTCGCCCACGCGACAAAGCCCATCCCCGTCCTCAGGACGCTCGCCACTGCACTTCTCTGGGCTGTGTAGAGCGGACGCAAAGCGCTCGAACGCGCGCGTGAAGAGCCGAAAGAGACGGGAACGCCGATGATGCGCAGGAGAACGGGCGTGCAAGTGAGGATGGGGCCCGGGGAATCGCCGTGCCCGGAATCGCAGACCTCCTCTCTCAGGACAGCTCGGCGGATCCTGTCGCAGTCGGGCCTCCAAATGCCGACGCGCAGTGCCATTGCTTGAAAAAACGCGTCTCGCGCTGGAACCATAGGTTGCATTCGGCCGCCTGTCTCCGCCGAACACGCGCGTTGTGACGGTGTGTCTGGTGCGCTTGCAGCCGACGAGGTGCGCGACGTGCGCGCGCGCCTGCGCCCCGTCTCCTCCGCGAGGTTGCGCGCGTAGGCGCCAGGGCCGTTGGCGATGCTGAGCAGGGATTCGGGAACAGACGCTCGGCGCCGTAGGCGGCCCCGAGGAGGTCGTGAGAGACGAGTATCCGATTCGACCGCGCTGAACCGCCCCCGGCCTTCAAGAGCGCCCCGAACACGATGTTTTCTTTCCCATGACAGAAAAGTCGTTGCCCCAGAACTTGAACCGAGGATTCGCATGGCGGCTGGGCTTACCCCGCGAGGCAAACTTGCGCCGGCCATCTCCGAAGCGACCTGCATGAGCAGCAAGGAGAGCGTCGTTGTCTTGGGGGCGATGGGCCACTTTCCAAGTCCAGGCCAACCCCCCATCGCACGACGCATTCTCGGCGGCGGGGGTCGCCGAGATAGGTCGCGCCTGCTCGCATGACAAGGCGCGGCAGCGAATCGCATTCTTCCGGCCGTCGCATTCCATGGCGCCGGCGCCGCCCATGAGCAGCGCCTGACCGCGAGTCCGCGCAGAACGGACCACCTGGCCGCGGAGCTGTCGCGTGGGAAATCACGCCTCCACGCCGGGAAGGTACGAGTTATGAACCAGGCCCAAGAACGCGGGGCGTTTGATTTTCGCCCGGCTCCCTTTCTGGCCCCAGGAGTGCCTTGTGGCCGCCCAGCCGTTCCTTGCCACCTTCCATCTTGGTCCGTGCCCGCCAGTCCGTCTGATGATAAGTTCCAAGATGTCGTGCAGCGATTTTCGCCCCCCCTGGAACCTGAAGCTGCTGGTGAACAACCTTCAATCTTGGCCGGGGCCCCTCTGCAGCGCTGCCGAAACATCAGCCCTTTCTTCTCGAGTGTCTGTTTAAGGTTGAGGGGTATCGGTACGTGCTGCGCGTGCTGAGTACCCCAGCATTGGATTCCCCGCGCGGCCTCGAAAGCCCCACCAACTAATCATAGCGCTCTACATCGTCGGCGTATGCGCCGTAAGCAACGTCAACCGCTGTTCTGGAAACGGGGTCCGTGACCGTGAAGAACGATTTCTCTTGCCAGAACGGATCTGATCGACCCGCTCGTTCATCGCAGACTGATGCCCCTGCAAGTCGCCGCGCTCGTCAGCACCCCCCCCCCCCCCCGAACGCTAGAAGTCCCCATCGCAAGCCCGGCGGGCCTCGGAATGACCCGTGGAAGAGTGGCGAGGGTAAGGGAAGACGAGGGGGCAGCGCAATGACTTGGAGATGCGCCGCCGCTACACAGAGCAGCACACTTACGATGTCGCTGCGCAAAGTTGCGCAGGAAGACGCGACCCTTCCGCGACTGGTTGCTCCTCGGGCGCGGCGCCTCTGCACGGCGCGACAGCCCCCGTGCCCCCCTCGGGGCCGAGACGACGCGCGCGCGGATCCCAGTCGCGGACGTCTGGCGGCGCAGCCGTGAACGCGCCATGCCGCCCGCGCTCGGGGCCCAGACGGCCCCCCCGCAATCGGCCTGCAGAACTGCCGCGCCAGACGGCCGCGGCCCCCTCGCCCGCCCCTCCCGGCGCCGCCTCGCACCCCGACGCTTAAGTTCGCGAGTGCGCAGGCCTAGCTTCTGACACGCTTCGCCCAAAGCCGATCGGCGCTCGCCCTCGGGGGCGTCCGAAAGAAGGGCGCGCGCGCGAAAATATGAAAGTCTGGCTCTGCCCGCGCCCCCAGGTTCCGCGGCTGTCGGCCCGGCTGGGGGCGCGCGGAACATGGCCGCACCAGCGGATCGCAGTGCGTCGTTGAGGAAGTGCTAGCTGCTGTCCGCGCCCATCTGTTCGAACGCGGTCTGCGTGGGCTTGGAATTGGAAGCCTCGGAAGCCCGGTCGTCCAGGCGCCTCGCGAAGTCGAAGGAGCGTTCGTTCTCCGTGCGACCAGCGTTCAGAATATCGTCGCAACCCCCTCTCGTGTGACCCTGATCTCCCCTGTGCCGGCTCTGGGCGTTCGCCGGGGCCTGGCCCGCCACCTGCAACTTGCGCCCTGCGCGCCGCCAGACTTGATATTTTGGCGCGTGCGCCAGGGCGCCCCGTGGCAGGGCAACGTAGTCGATCCGCATTTGCCCCTGGCCCTTGAAGAACGTCGGGCCGCGCCAGCCCTCGAGCTGCGCGTGGACTAGCACCGCCGCGCGCGCCGATCCAACGAGCGCCTGTGCAGGATGCTGTTGATGTCTCCCCGCTCGGCGCTAACGTGCCCGACGGCGCCCCGAAGCCTATGCTCGCGCCATTCAGCGTTGACGCGCCCCGGGCCAACATGGAAGTTGCCGCCCATCAACAGCGCGGGGGCGCACGTGGCAGGGAGTTCTAGTGCCGCTGGATCAATGCAAGAAGTGAGTTTCTCTAGCCTCTTTCGCTCGCTCTCATCTTTGGGCGGGGGGAACGGGTGCGCCGATGCGAAGCGCATGTCGAAATGGTCGCGCCATCCGAAATGAAGCCCCCCCCCCTCGCCCAGGCGACGCCCCTGGTGAGCGCCGCGAGCGAGCGAAGTGAGCTCGCCCGAGCATTCGCCGGCTCGCCGCGATCGCGCAGCCCGCGGAGACATTGGCACCGAGAGCAAGGCCCTGTCGCCGTCGCCGTCGGGCCCGCCCCGTAGACGCCGAAGTGGCGCGCGTCGAAACCCTTCGTCGAGATCCGAGCCTCCTGCAGCGAGCCATCGTGCGAAGCCGCCTCCTGCATCTGGCCCGCGCCTGTCAGACTGACGACGCGGGCGCTGGAGAACGTCTCGGGGATCTGAGCCGAGCCTCGCTCGAGCGGAAGTGCCCGCGGTTTGCGCTGGCGAGCCGCGAGCGATGCCGATGGGGCATGGGGCAGCAGTGGCCGCGAATGAGCTGAATTCCAGCAGGGCCCGCAACGCGCGGCGGGGCTCTCAGCTGCAATCAGCCTCGCGCTCCTCTGGCGCGATTGAATCCCCCCCCAGAACATGTCTGGTCCGGGCCGAGGAAGCCGCGCGACTGGTGAGAATGATGGCGATGATGGTCTGGCGATGACGATGGCGATGGCGAGCCCTGCAACGAGCTGAATCTATTGGAAGCCAGTGTGCTCGTCGCCCGCATACGCGCAGAATAAGACTCGAGGGCATTTGGCAAACGAAGACGAATGCGAGGCCGAGGGGGTGGCATCGACTCACCCGGAGCGCAGGCGCGTCAACGCGGGAAGACAGGAACGGAGAGGGGGGTAGCAGAACGACGAGAGTAGGCGAGCAGAAGCAAAATGACATGAGACGAACGGGCCCAAGGCCTCAGACACCAGGCCCAGCGCCTCGTGAGGTTACCCAGAGAAGGTGCTCTCCATATACGCATCCAACGGCGTGCGCGTGGACGACCGCGCGTAGCTGACCAGCGCGCGACCGACAATATGCAATCATGATGCTGGCGCACCGTCCACTCGTCAATCGTCGGATACCACTCCCCACCACTGGGCCGTTCCAGCGCCGCCAATGCGTTTACCCAGCGGTCGTGCTTCTCGTAGGAAGGATCGCCCTGTTCTACGCATTCGCTGACGTTGCCCTCGTGGAGGCGCCTGTTGCGGCAAGCCGTGGACTACCTTATGAAATCTTGGGGGGCTCCGACTGTCGCGGGGGCTGAGAGCTGTAGCCGTCTGACCGCGCGTGGGCCTCCAGCAGTTTTCCCACGTCCTGAAGACGTGCGTATTGACGCGCGGCCGCATGGGGCATTGCGAATTGCCTGTTTGTTTCTCTCTCTCTCTCTCTCTCTCTCTCTCTCTCTCTCTCTCTCT